CGCCTTCCGTGAATGTTGCTCTCCAAGCTTCTTTCGATTCCGCACCTTATCTTATAGAGCTACTGTAAGAGGAAACTCCTTCCACATTGAACGCCAACTTGCTCGAGCGCTCTGCTCACATACCAATAAACTAGTGAAACTGCTGCTGAGGAGAACTCGACATCCTATTTCCCTATACTCGACCGAATCGCCGAAGGAGCTTTCGATGATGCCGTGACGGACAAGGAGCTGTATGATCGGTTCCTGGAGGTGATTCACACGGACGGACACCTGAGGACCCCCGAAGCACTCTCCTCATTCAAGTTGTCGCTGGCCATCCGGTCCGCCAGTCCTCGTATCGCCGCACACTATCAATACTATAATGCCTCGGTCCAGCACTCGTTGGCAGCGGCCCAAGACGCAGTCTGTCCGGTGTGGGTCCATGCGGATGGAAAGCAGTATTGCTCCTCGACCCTGGAACGTGCCCAACAGGGTGTGATGGGTCCAAGGTTCGTCTCATGGCGCCGAATTGAATGGTGAGGGTTCCCAGCTAACTGCTTTGATCTCTAGTGACCCCCCAGAGCTTCCTTTCGATCGCGTGCTCGGAGACTCTTCCCTCCCACCGGCGATCCTCTATGCGGACCTAGCGTCTCCAATGTTCAAGGACTTCCACCAGTCTCTGACCGCTCTTGCCAGAGGTGGCCAATTCTCGTATCGAGTACGTTACAGGCCTCCGCAGCACTGGAGCTCGCGTCCGCTGTTCGTGTCGGGATATGGTGTCGAACTTGCATTGAAACGGACGGACTACATCGTCATTGACGACAGGGCTGCTGAAGAGAGGAGCTCCAATGCTTCAGGCTCGAAGAAAACAGCCAACGGGGAGGGAGATGATCTGGATGACCTGAGACCGCTGTCTTCCTCGGAAGTATCCCGGCTCGGTCCGGGCACCGTTGGCTATGTGCTGGACAGCGAGAGCCCTCTGGATGCACTGGTCGAGCTGTCGCAGGACTTCCCCAAGTACTCGGCTAGGATCGCAGCCCACAATGTCACCAAAGAACTGTTGCAGGACATCCAGTCTAGTCGGCTGCGGATGCTCCCTCCGGGATTCAATGCCTTGTGGATCAATGGTGTTCAGATCGATGCTCGACAGGTCGATGCCTTCACTCTCTTAGACCACCTGCGTCGCGAGAGGAAGCTGGTCGAGAAGTTCCGCAACCTTGGACTCTCCGCCGGGGAGTCTGTGGATCTGCTGTCTCACAAATTCCTGGCAGCGGCAATGGCTCAGGATGGCCCTCAGCGGTACAACTACCGGGACGAGATTGAGGGTGGCGGTGTAATCATGTGGCTGAACGACCTCGAAAAGGATGCACGCTACGAATCGTGGCCACGCGATCTCGGTGGAGTGGGTAATCCTTCCCCAGTGATGCGAATACGATGCTAATTATTATCAGTACATGCAACGTGTATTCCCTGGCCAGTTGCCGTCCGTTCGTCGTGAAGCTAACAATGTGGTTATCCCGGTTGATTTGGCCAAGCTCGATGACGCCACCCTCATTGTCAAGTCCGTCCAGGTCTTCGTGAAGAACAACATTCCCGTGAGGTTTGGTTTGGTTCCGATAACTTCATCCCCGGGCTCAATTGCGCAGCTCAAGGTTGCTCATTACCTGCAAGATACCTTTGGTTTGGCTAGCTTGATGAGCTATTTGGAAATGGTAAGTATCAGTACTTGAGACCTTTACCCTTTCCACCCATTAATGTTTCATGTAGTCGGTGTCCAAGAACAAGTTAAGCTCCCCGGACAAAACAGCCTTTCAGACTGCGACTGCAGACCGAACTGCTCGCCCTGATAAGCAATCCTTGTCTCTAGATGAAGTGCTCAAGAACGATGCCGGGGACACTATAGTGAGCCGGACTGGCGAGTACTTAAGACGTCTGGGTGTCACAGGAGAAGCGTCACACTCGTTTGTGAACGGTGTCCCGATTCTTCGTAATGAAAATTGGGCTCAGGAATTGAGCGCCAGGGTCAGCCGGGATATCCAGGCAATTCAACAGTCGATTGCGGATGGAGAACTTTCTGAGGACACCTGGTTACCCGGCCTTTTTCTCTCCGATGCTTTCGACAGACGTAACCCTGTCATTGTCCCTGAAGATCCAAAGGATGTTCGAGTTGTGGACATGGCGCAGGTGGCAGAGACGTATGGCGAGCTTCTCGGATCTCTCCCTCGCATTCCGTCAACCCAGGAAGATGTCCTTGCTAGCAGTCATGTGATCGTAGCGGGCGACTTCAGCGATGAACCCGGCTTCAACTTACTGAGCGCTGCGCTTGGGAGCCTCAAGAATCACGGTGAAGCCGAAGTACTGCTCCTGCAGAACAATGGTGCAAACTCTTCTATCTGGACTGGATCCTATACCATCCATCGTTATCTGAAGAAGAATGATGATGTTGATGCCGCAAAGCTTCTGGAAGAGCTCACCGGAACCCACCTATGGTCTCGTACAGATAAGCAGGAGGCTGAAAACTTCTGGTGTGCCCACCAATCTCTGGTCAAAGGTCTTGGACTTTACTCGGGTGCAAATGCAATCGTCATCAATGGAAGAGTCATTGAAGTGCCAGTCGACGTTGCGCTAACTTCTGACGATGTGGACCAGCTACTAGCTTACGAGAGACAGAAGCGCATTGCTCCTATTGCCAAGGCTGCCGAAGCATTGGGTTTCGGCGCGAAGCTCAGTAGTCCTCTTACCCTTGCTAAACTGACTTCCCTGGCAGCTCTTTCCACCGTCTCCGACGTGCCGGAGGGTATTTACGAATCGACGCCCGACATCCGCGTCAACTTGTTTGAGCGGTGGGACAACGCTCGCTCTACAATCACGGTCTCCAACTCGGAGGATCCTGTGATTACCATCGTAGCCTCTATCGACCCGACATCTGAAGTCGCTCAGAAGTGGTTGCCCATTCTGAAGGTACTCTCGGACCTGGCCAACGTCAGAATGCGGCTCGTTCTAAATCCCCGGGATGAACTGCAGGAGCTGCCCACCAAGCGGTTCTATCGCTACGTGCTGGAATCGGAGCCCTCGTTCAGCCAGGACGGATCTGTCGCTCGCCCTACCGCCTCTTTCTCCGGTGTACCTGTCGAGGCACTTCTTACGTTAGGCATGGACGTTCCGTCTTCGTGGCTTGTGGCTCCGAAGGAATCAGTGTACGACCCTGACAACATCAAGCTGAGCTCGGTTAAAGAGGGCACCAACGTGGACGCAATCTACGCTCTGGAGCACATCCTCATTGAAGGCCACTCACGGGATCTTACCATGAAGACGGCACCAAGGGGAGTGCAGCTCATTCTGGGGACAGAGGAAACTCCTCAGATTTCTGATACCATCATCATGGCCAACCTGGGCTACTTCCAATTCAAGGCTCAACCGGGTCTTTGGACCATTAACCTGAAACCCGGCCGCAGCGAGCGAATCTTCCAACTTGACAGCCTCGGCAACGAAGGGTACAGCCTCCACCCCAACGACGACACTAGCAACGAGGTTGCGCTTCTCTCCTTCCAGGGCAAGACACTCTTTCCCCGCCTCTCCCGCAAGAAGGGCCAGGAGATGGAAGACGTGCTAGAAACGGGCATCAAATCCGGCAGCGCGATGGACTACGTCTCCAAGGGCCTCAACTTTGCGTCCGGCGTTCTCTCCAGCGTGGGGATCAACGGCTCCCCCAAGGACGTGGCGGGCGGCAAGCAAGCGGACATCAACATCTTCTCCGTCGCGAGCGGCCACCTCTACGAGCGCATGCTCAACATCATGATGGTCTCGGTCATGCGCAACACCGAGCACACAGTCAAGTTCTGGTTCATCGAGCAATTCCTCTCCCCGTCGTTCAAGTCCTTCCTGCCGCACCTGGCGGCCGAATACGGCTTCTCGTACGAGATGGTGACCTACAAGTGGCCGCACTGGCTGCGGGCGCAGACAGAGAAGCAGCGCGAGATCTGGGGCTACAAGATTTTGTTTCTGGACGTCCTCTTCCCGCTGAGTCTGGACAAGGTGATCTTCGTGGACGCGGACCAGGTCGTGCGCACCGACATGTACGACCTCGTCGCGCTGGACCTGGAGGGCGCCCCCTACGGCTTCACGCCCATGTGCGACTCGCGCCACGAGATGGAGGGCTTCCGCTTCTGGAAGCAGGGCTACTGGAAGAACTTCCTCCGCGGCCAGCCCTACCACATCTCAGCCCTCTACGTCGTCGACCTCAGCCGCTTCCGCGCCCTGGCCGCCGGCGACCGCCTCCGCGGCCAGTACCAGATGCTCTCCGCCGACCCCGGCTCTCTGAGTAATCTCGACCAGGACCTGCCCAACCACATGCAGCACCACATCCCCATCAAGAGCCTGCCGCAGGAGTGGCTGTGGTGCGAGACCTGGTGCTCCGACGAGTCCCTGGCCCAGGCCCGCACTATCGACCTCTGCAACAATCCACTGACCAAGGAGCCCAAGCTCGAGCGGGCCCGCAGGCAGGTCCCCGAGTGGACGGTGTACGATGAGGAGATCGGTGCGTTGGAGAAGAGGGTCCGGTTGGAGGTGCAGGAGGAGATCCGTGATCAAGAAGTGGAGGCTGATACTGGTGCTGAGTGGGACAAAGATGAGCTTTAGATGTGGGGAGATGTTGTATTGTATAAGCGTATAGCATTGCCATCGATCTCTTTTCTTTGCTTGTTTAAAGACACAAACTACGCCATGTATCTTCATTGTCCTCATTCTTGCTCAATTTGAGCCTTCATTCTCGGGAAAATCATAGGTGTATGGTTGAATTAGATAAGGTGGTAAAACGTGACTGACATCGCATCTTGAAACTTAGAAAGGCTATACAGACATGCAGACACGCGGACATGCGGACATGCAAATGTACATACATGTACATGTACCACAGTGCTAACTAGCAAGCTAAACCACGACCTACCCAGCACAATCCACCATACCCTACTCCATCAGCAATCCTACAAAAGCACAAAAACACACTGACCAGCATTTGCTTTGCCGTACTCCATCCATATCATTCATAATCTAACTTATCGCAACTGACAAATTATTCAACTCAAAGTATGGACTTCATCATCATCATCTTTACACACTCTCTCCCTCCCTCCTCCCACCTCCCCATTTCTCATTGCCATCCGGAATAGGAAATCATTTGATCCCCTCAACACGACAGAAATCCACAATCAACCATACATACAAAGCGACCTAGCACGCCCGGACTCAAAAACACATACACCGTTCGTCCGTCTACCCAACCCGAAGCTTTTACTCGGAATCCGAATCCGAATCTGAGGATTCATCATCATCGTCATCCGACGACGAATCCGCCTTGGCCCGCAACTTCGCATCGCTCAACATGTCGTTCAGCGTGTTGGGCTTGAGGGCCTTGAGTTTGCTGTTCGCCTTGCTGAGGCTGGCGTCCCGGAGTTCCTTGAGGCTGAGGCGATGGCCGGGGGACCGGGTGGGTTGGGAGCTGGAGCCGAAGGAGGGGCGGGTGGGGATTGAGGGCCTTTGCGGCTGAGGTTGGGGTTGGGATTGTTGCTTGGGGGCGCGGGAGGATTCTTCGGATGAGGAGGAGGTGGTGTCGGAGGCATCTTCGTCGGAGGCGTCGTCGTCGGAGGCGGTTTCGGGGTCGGATTCGGGCGGCGTGGGGTTGGAGCGTTTGGAGTGCGTGACGGTGGGTTTGGTCGGGGGTTGTTGGGGTTTCTGGGTGGGTTCCGTGGTGGTGGTGATGGTGCGTTTGGCTGTAGTGATGGGGGAGGAGTTGGTGGAGGGTTTGCGGTTGGTGGCAGTGGCAGTGGGTTTGGCGGGCCAGTCGCCGCCGGTGCTGCTTGTTTCGCTGTCGCTGCCGCCAGATTCCTCCTCTTCCTCCTCTTCTTCGTCCTCCGACGAAGAGGCGGAGGCGGTGGGGGAAGGTGACTTTCTGGATTTGATGGCCACCGCCGGGGGGCTTCGGGGTTTGATGTTGCCTCCTCGCTGCTGCTGTTGAGACGACTTGGTGACGGTGCTGGGGGAGGTGACTTTGAGGTTGGTGGATTTCTGCCCACTGGGTGGAGTGGAGTAGTTCTCCTCTTCGCTCTCGTTGCTTTCGCTGCCACTCTCGCTGCCACTCTCGCTCTCGCTCTCGGCCTCTTTGTCGCCAAGGTTGGGCTTGACTTCCCGTTTGGCGTTAGGGCTGGGCGACTCCTCCTCTTCCTCCTCTCCCGACTCCTCCTCTGACTCCGAGTCGGACTTTTGTCTCCGCTCGTGCTTAACGGCCCAATCGACTAAGCCATCGCCAACTTCATCGGCAACGGAATCCTCGCGCGAGCCCGTATTAGTGATATGACGGGTGGCCCCAGTGGGCTGTTTCGATGGTGGTGACATGTGTGCATCATCTAGTTCCATTGAGTGCCGTTCATGCTTAATGGGGACTTCTGGCTCGGCAGATTCGTCTTCCTCCTCCTCCTCCTCTTCTTCTTCTTCTTCTTCTTCTTCTTCCTCCTCCTCCTCTTCCTCTTGATCCGACTCCTCAACCGCCTCCTCCTCCGGTTCTTGATCCGACTCCTCAACCGCCTCCTCCTCCGGTTCTTGCGCCTCTTTCTTCTCCGCCGCTTTCTGCGTTTCCTGGCTCACGTCTTCATCCTCCGACTCTACGATTTCCTTGCTCTTGAACTTCTGATTAGGCTTCTGCTGAGGGGTACTCACGGCCCGTGACTTGCTCCGGCGGCTACCACCCGACTTTTTCGCAACCGCCGAGTCATGAAACGCATCGGGGTTTTCCTTCCTGCGTTGGTTCAGGACTTTGGCCCTGAGTTTCCGCCACTTGTCCGCGCACTGCTGGCGAGAACGGCAGTTGTTCATCTTGTCGCTAACCACTCCCCAAGCGATGTAGACTTCGTCCAACTCGTAGACATCCTGGCCGACATCCACCCCGGTAGCTTTCATGGTATGCCAGACCTCTTGCAGAGCGTCCATCATGTCCTGCACTTCCTGCTCCGACCAGGAGCCGCGGTTCATCGTGCGACGATGCTGCAGACGGTTCTTCCACCGCTGGACGACATCGTCGTCGCTGCGGCCAATCATCTTGGCAATGTAGGCCCACTTGGCCCCGTGCAATCTGTGCAGCGAGATGAGCTCCTCGTCCTGCTCGTGGGTCCAGTGGTGAGGCTTCTGGGAGGAACACTGGAAATGGCGGCGCATGAATCGGTAGACGGATCTCTTGGCCCGGTCCGGAATGATCTCGTAGATCCTCGCCCAGAAGTCCGGCTTCGTGATGATGTCGGTTTGCACCGGCCACTGTTCCTGTCGCTCGCGGACGGAGTGCTGCACCATCATGTCGAAGGTATCCGCCTCCACGCCGTTTATGGTGCAGAACTCCAGCTTGAAGGCCTCGAGTTTCTGGATTTCGTCGGGCGAAAAGAAGCCCGTCTTACCGGTGGGATTCTTGTTCTTGTTGCTGTTGCTGTCATCGTCGTCGTCGTCGTCGTCGTTGTCGTCATCCGCTTGCACGCGTCGACCCTTCTTCTGCCGAGCCAAGGCGCTGGGCGCCGATGATGCGCGGGTCACATCTTTTTGAGGCCGGGGGGTCGCGGTTTCGGTCTGGTCGGCATCTTGCATCACCTGGTCCTGGGGTTTCGGGATAGCGACGGGCTCGCCCCTCAGGGCTGGGTCGATCGGAATCTCGGGTTCGGGGATCTCTGGCACCGCGGGAGGTGCATCATGCTGGCGGTGGTGGTGGTGGCCATTGGTCGCGATCGTCGTGGAAGTCCGCTTGGCGGAGACCGGGCTGCTGATGTACGGAAGCTCTTGGGATTCCTCGCGTTGCTGCTCTCGCTTCTGCTTCTTTTTCGACGACTCACTGCCCTTAACCTTCTTGCGCTTCGCGGGGTGGGTGGCCGAGGAGTTGGTGAGAGGTGTTTGAGGAGTCTGAGGGACGAAGCCGGTTCGCCCGCCGGCATTGGGGGTGGCATTCAAGCCCGTGCTGTTTCTCTTGCGTTTGGCGGACGCCATCTCGTCAATTTCCAACTGCAGAAGTCGCTTGGCTTGACTGAGCACGGACGTGTCAAGTGAAGGACTCGAGAGGATCTCGATACTGTCTGGTGTTCCTCAGGGAAGCATTATGTCAGTCATGTTTCAGTTCTGGGGGATTTAGGCTTTTTTTTCTATTTCTTTTTCTTTTTGTTTTTAGCTGCTGAGCAACAGTGACGGAGCGCGTGAGGTGTTATGCACATGTTGAATTGATCCAGTCTATTCAAGAGCAGGTACATACCCTCGTTGAGCCCGTTTGTAGTCTCAGACGTAGGCTGGGAGGATGTGAGGCCCATTGTTGTTTATAGAAGGGAGACAGACTGACCGGAGGGGGAGCAGACGGAAGGGAAGGGAGGAAACAAAACTAACCAGTTGGTAATTTCAGATAAAAGCTTGAACAAAAAGCTTCGAAAGGGATCTCGAAGGGCGGTGAATGAGAACAGAACAATCAATGATGACAGGGACAGGCAGAGTTGAACTCAGGAATTGGGGGCGCTGAGGTGTCAACAATGGTCTCCCAGGAATGGAAGGGAAAATTCCCGGAGGTGAAGTCTTTTTTTTTTCCCTCTCCCTTCAGCAACAACGTGGGCGGGCGCCAACTTTTTTTTTTACGCGGTCCGCTTCTTCACCACCATTTTTTTTGCGGGTTACTTCTGCTCTGGCGGTCAACCCGAACTCCCCATCCATTCCCCGCACCGCAGGTGAAATCACCCACCATTGGATAGCATAGTTTACTGTAGTGTATCACAAGCGGTAGTAGAAATGATAATTAAAGAGTATAGGAATAGGAAAATAGGATGTCATCAAATCTGTCGTAACACACACACACACATATATATGACCCAGCATTTCTAATTTACACTTCAATCTTCAGCTCGCGCAACACCCTCGACACCAGCTTCTTCTGGTCTGCGGGATTTAAGTCATGCTCGTCGATGGTGGTCAAGCATCGGCCAATTGCCACCGTCGCCTTGACGGCAACATCCCCCGAGTTCGAGCAGTCCACCCACACCTTGCCATTCCTGCCAATGGCGATCTCGAACCCGCCGGCCTTCTCGAGCTTCTTGCCCAGTTCATCCAACACCACCAACCCGGCCACCCCGTCCTGCTGCTCGCCCGTCGACGAGCTCGCCCGCATCAACCGAACCGCCATCCCCGTGGAAATATCAAACACCATCCCGCCGTTCAGGGGCCCTAGACCGCCGGGTTCCGCTCTGCCCGTCGCCGGGTTGATGCAGGCCAGCTCGACCTCCGCCCCCGCACCGAGCCCAACGGACAGCACCCGCGCGTACACCAGATCGCCCTGCTTCAGCATGGGGCGCGTCTTCTTCGTGGCGCCCTCGAAGGAGAGCTGCCCCAGGACCGCATGGGGCGCCTGCGGCGTGATCATGCAGTGGAAGTAGTCCGGGCTGGAGTGGTGGATCTGCGCGATCACCAGGTCGTTAACCGTGGGGATGTACCGGCGGCGCGGCGAGGAGAGAATCGATACGGCGTTGCGCTTGTTGTCTGTGGAGAGGATCCCGGCCTGCGTGGCCGTAAGGACATGGCTGGGGGAGGAGGGTGGGTTGTTGTTATTGTTGTTGTTGTTGCTGCTCGTGGTCGGTTGGTGCGGTTGCGAGAGCAAACGGAGGCCGGCGCCCAACCTCAAAGGTGCGGAGCTGGTAGAGGGGAGGTACTCGGATGGGATCTCATCGCCGGGCAGGAGGACTAGTGGTGACGACATGATTCGTATATGTTTACCGCGCAGGTCAATGTAGCTGCGGGGTGGAGGTGGAGGAGGGGGTTTTAGGTAGGTGAAGGAAGTTTGGCTGGTCGCATTCAAAGGAAAAAGGAAGCGCAAATCACCCCGTGAGCTTATCGTCTGAAGTTTTTTTATCTTCACGTGATACGACGTTTTGTTCCTCCGGTCTGGGCTGTAGGGTGCTATGCAAGTAGCCAAACATTGACATCGGGTGGTAGATTCTGAGCTTTGGAGCTTATTTATGTTCTCGATTACATTGTTGAGCTAGGATTTGCAAAGGCAGCAGAATAAACAGTACTAACCTTAAGCTTGTGTTGTTGATCCTCTCTGAGAGTGGAAGTGGCGGTCGCACCGCCACACTTACTATCGATAAGCACTAGCCACATCTGCCCGCCAATTGCAAACGAGCCAAAATTTTTTTCCTCGGGGCGAAGGAAAGCGCGGCGGGAACAGCCTCAATATTCGTTCCCTCTTCTTCCCCCGTCCTCTCTTTCTCCCATTTCCGTTTTCCTTTGGGATCGCTGCTCATTTTTCTTTCTCTTGTTTCCCTTCCCCATTTCTCACACACATATCACAAGATGAGCTCCGAAACTAACGGCGCTGCCGAGAGATTCGCCATTGGTATCTCCTTTGGCAACTCTTCCAGCTCTATCGCCCGCCTCAACCCTGTACGTACCTGTCTTCGAACTATCTGAAATCTCATCTATCCAACCAATCAACCAATGCATCCGTGTGCAATCCATTCGAGAGTGATGCTAACATCATTATCATGTAGGAGGGCAAGGCTGAGGTTATTGCCAACGAGGAGGGAGGTCAGTTTCAACTCTACCCATTTTCGCTCACCACTCCCGGTTGCGCATTGCTCCCAAAGACTGTCAACTTACCAGCATGTAGACCGTCAAATCCCTACCGTTCTTTCCTACATCGAAGGCGAGGAGTACCACGGTGCTCAGGCCAAGAACCAGCTTATCCGCAACTCCCAGAACACTGTTGCATACTTCAGAGACTACCTTGGCAAGGAGTAATTGCTCCCACTTCCGATTCGAAGGAGATCGAAATGTTGACAAGGTTTCTAGCTTCAAGTCGATAGACGCTACCCCCTGCCACAACTCCGCCCACCCCCAGCAGCACGAAGAGACCGTTGCTTTCTCCATCCGCGACACCACCAGCGAGACCCCCAGCACCGTTACTGTCTCCGAGATTGCTACCCGTCACCTGCGCCGTCTCAAGCAGTCCGCCTCCGATTATCTCGGTAAGGAGGTTAACGCTGCCGTCATCACCGTCCCCACCGACTTCAACGATGCCCAGCGTGAGGCCTTGATCGCCTCTGCCAACGCTGCTGGTCTTGAGGTTCTTCAGCTCATCCACGAGCCCGTTGCCGCTGCTCTGGCCTACGATGCTCGCCCCGAGGCTGTCGTGACTGACAAGCTTACCGTTGTCGCCGACCTTGGTGGCACCCGCTCCGATGCTACCGTCATTGCTTGCCGTGGCGGTATGTACACCATCTTGGCCACTGCCCACGACTACGAGCTGGGTGGTGCCACCTTGGACAAGATCGTCATCGACCACTTCGCCAAGGAGTTCATCAAGAAGCACAAGACCGATCCCCGCGAGAATGCTCGTGGCTTGGCCAAGCTCAAGCTTGAGGGTGAGGCTACTAAGCGTGCTCTGAGTCTGGGTACCAACGCTACCTTGAGCATCGAGAGTCTTGCTGATGGAATCGACTATGGTTCCACCATCAACCGCACTCGTTATGAGCTCCTCTCCGGCAAGGTCTTCGCTCAGTTCACCGCCCTGATCGAGCAGGTCGTCAAGAAGGCTGGCCTGGACGTTCTTGACATTGATGAGGTTTGTGTGAATCCGCCCTTGTATAACCAGCTCAATCCCTCTAATCTTGACAATCATAGGTCATCTTCGCTGGTGGTACTTCCCACACCCCCAAGATCGCCCAGCTGGCCCGCAACATCTTCTCCGAGAAGACCACCATTCTCGCTCCTTCCACCTTCACCGCTGCCATCAACCCCTCTGAGCTTGCTCCCCGTGGTGCTGCCATCCAGGCTTCCCTCATCCAGGAGTTCGACAAGGAGGACATCGAGCAGTCTGTCCACCCCATGGTCACTGCCACTCCTCACCTTCAGAACGCCATCGGTGTTGAGGTCACCTCCGGCGATGCCGTCGACTTCCAGGCCCTCCTCCACGTCGAGACCGCTCTCCCCGCTCGCCGTACCGCTCAGTTCTCTGCTCCCAAGGAGGGAGGTGACGTTTTGATCCGCGTCTGCGAGGGTGTCCGCGAGATCAAGGTCACCAAGCCCGAGCCCAAGCCCAAGGAGGAGAAGGTTGAGGCTGACGAGGATGAGTCCGACTTCTCCGACTCCGATGATGAGGAGGAGGAGATCCGTGAGATCGTCTGGAAGACTGAGAAGCCTATTGCCGAGCTGGCCGTCAAGGGCGTCAAGGCCGGCAGCAAGGTCGAGCTCATGATCCACGTTGATGCTGACCTTGGCCTGCAGATCACCGCTCGGGAGGTCGGCGGCCAAAGCGCCGTCCGCGGTGCTGTCGAGGCTCCCAAGGCCTAGATTGCCCGTCTCCGAGTTATGAATCTGCTACCAAAATATTTATGTTGCATCTTTTGCATGAATTGATTTAGAATCTCACTTGCTTGGTTTCTACTGCCGGATATTACCCAACTTCCTTTTTCCTGGTTTCTCTTCCGCAGAAGCTTACGAACCACGTCTCAAGACAGCATTCAGTTCCCAATCTGAAAGAGGCACCTAATTCTGTGTTCTTCTTGGCCATGACTTTTTGACGACAAATGTATTCATGAAGGCTTCTGCAAAATATTTATAGAGAACTGCAATGACGCGGAATAGAGAATGATAGATTTTGTGGATACTTCTGTGGTCTTACGTATCACCATCTTTTACAATTTGTCGTAGTCTCTTTCCGTGCTGCGTAGTAGGTACTTTTTCAAGGAACGAGCTATATTACAATTACTAAATGTAAATAGTGTAATAAGAGTAAGCGAAGAAAGCATACAGGGGGCACAGTACAGGTCGGCAAACCAAGTAACAACCGACTAAACAGCCCAAGCAAATCACCAACAGGATAGATTAGAATTAATGAGCCACCAGGTCATCAACGATGGTATACAGTGAGAGCAGTAGAATGTTAGTGTGTGGATGTGCACAACATAGCATCAGGGCATAAGACATCAAAGAAATTCATATAGGCTGCTGAATAGGCATGAGACTATTCGAGAGGGAGGGAGGGAGGGTGTAGAAAGGAGGGTATTATCAGACGGAGCTTCCGTAACCCACCCCCAGCCCGCCACCCCCTCCAGCGAGACATCTAGATTGTGAGTCAGAAACAGAAACCTCTTCATCACCTGGTCAACGAACGCCGTTCCCGTCACGTTGTCATACGAGACCAAAAAGACCAGTGCGAATCGAAGTCTTTTTTGTTGGGGGGTGGGCCCAGATTAGACCGCAGCAGTCTCCTTGTTACTCCTCACGCTGTTGGAGCGAGCGGACGAGAAGAAACCCTTGCGGCGGTGCTCGCGGCCGCTGTAGCCCCGGCCGCGGTCCTTGCGGCCCGTCGCGCCGCCCATGCAGTACGCCAGGCAGGCGAGGAAGAGACAGGCGACGGCGGTCCACATGAAGGCGAAGGCCTTGACGCCCAGCCGGGCGGTTTGGTTGTTGGCGTTGAACCTGTTCCGGCCTTGGACGTAAACGGCACTGCCGCGTTTTTTGACGTTAGTTTTGGTTCATTTCGAGGGTTCTGATTTTCTTCTTCAGGTTGGCCAGGGTAAACACTTACGTGATCAAGCAGGTGGCGATGATCTGGAAGACTAGGGCGATCCAGGCCATCAGCGAGGATAGGTAGCTTCCGATGCGCGTGCACATGGCCAGGAAGCCGGTGAGGAGGGAGATGACGCCGAAGAAGAGGGCAATCAGCAGGAAGGGGAAGGAGAACCGCGAGGTCAGGAAGTAGTGGTTCGTTCTGGGGAGAGGGGTTAGCTTGTGGTTCTGGGTACAGCATGAAGGATTGGATGTGTTGAATATTGATACTCACCCGACAAAGGCAGCCGGGATGTTGGTGGTGGTGCCAAAGTTACGCGAGCTGGGGGGGTCGAAGGGGTAGTCCGGGTGAGACGAGCCGCATTGGCTCTTACCATTCACCACGGCGCATAGCTGCCAGAACGTCCAGCGGGACAGCGAAGGTGCCCCCGGGATGTTGCTCGTGTCCACCTGCAGGAAGTAGATCTCGTTCAGGGGCCGGGTGTTGGTCGCGCCGCCCAGGAGAGTCAGGAACATGAGCAGGAGGGCTCCTGCTGTGAAGAAGAGGCCGAGAAAGCCCAATGCCACTCCTGTAAAATAGGGACGCGGGATGTTAGCCCAGTCCATGCGCTATAGTATAGAGTGGATCATAGGGCTGGGAGGAAGTGGGTGGACTTACTGCTAAGCACCATCGTGATACTAGGCTGAGTTTTCTCTTTTTCTTTTCTCTCTTTTGCGCCTTCTGGCTTGAAGAGCCGGGTAGAGAGTTTTTTCTTGGACTCTGAGGTAGAGAGGTCTGCGCTTGAGGCTAGATCTGGGTGGTTTGCGGGCTTGGAGATCTGGTGGGAGGAGATGGAGCGTATGGGGGAAGAAATGGATAGGTATAAGGAAAAGAGGATCAGGGTCAAGAGAAGACTCTGGTATTATAATATCCGAAGTGTCCGGGCAGTCCCTTCAAGCGGGGACTGGGGGGGGGGGGGGGGGTTCGACCCAGGGGATAGTGATATAATCATGAGGATGCATCATCATCGGCGTGGTTCATCCGCAGGCACTGATGAAAAGTCCTTTGAGTCGAATAGCCATCGTCCATCGAGTAGAAACGGAAGAGTGACGGTATCGACGTCATCGTTGCAGCAGGCCCCGCTAACTGGCCTCGGCTAGTCTAAACCTTAGTGTCGCACTAGTCCAGATCGGGTAACCTAGACCTCACCTCTTCGGTCCTTCATGACGTTCGATGCTCTCTCGATCGTCGAGCTGGAGTGCTGCAACTTCAACTCTACACACCCACAGAACTGAACGTGAACGTTGCACCACCCCCCCAATTGAGTTGGGTACCCGACTCCTCTCGACGTGGATCGTCTGGCCAGCTAGTGCGGAAATTTTCTTCTGTCTACTACTACGTACTGCATCATCGTCCCTTTCGAGGCCCAGAGTTGAATTCTGCTGCCTGACCTTTTACTCCCCCACCCCCTACCTAGTTCATATCGAAGACTGCGTCTACGCCATATGCACTCTTAGAACCATAAGCACATCCGATCCTCCGGACATCCAAGCCCTAGAACACTTGTGGAATTTTAGCTGTCAGACGGATCACACCATGGCCACTTGGGCTTACCCACCCCTGCCCCCAGGACGCCTGGAACAGGAAGTGGAATCCACGTTGGTATGCCCCTACCCGGTGCTTATCTTAACTTACCACTATAGAACATAAGGAGCTTTGTCCAACGCAATGATTGCTTACCCGTTGATCTGCATAATAGGCCAAGGAATTAGAGTGGCTGTTACGCTCCCTGCAAGATTCTCTTGTTTCGCTTAGGGAAGGTTTGCATGAGTGTGCTGCTTTGCTGGCTCCCAAAGAGCCGGGCTCAACCTTAGTGCTGTCGTCCCTTCGGTCCGAAAATGTGAAAGGCTACGTAACCCGGGTTGGGACGCAAATCGTCAAAGGCGTATGTCATCTGCCCCAATTTTTCGGTCTTTCTTCGTGATAACTTTATTTCCTCTGCCCATTGATCGACACCCCTGCATCATCGTCACCACCAGTATCACCACCACCATCATACTTTGCTTGCTGCAATCTACATGCACGCGCGGGAATAATATTTACTGATCGTGCCTGACATGATAGGATATCCAACTTCGTCTAAGTTCTCTAGCCTCAGTACGCGGGTCAGCCAACACCCGGTTATGTCTGTCCAATGCCCCTGAGGCTCCAGAGCTTGTACTCGACCAACTGGTTTCTGTGAGAAATCTGGTCAACCAGAGCTTGGACATTGTAGATGTTAGTACATGGACGGGCGATCCACTCAACGCTGGCTTCATCTTTAGTCAGTTGCATCTCCTGCGCGAGACCATCAGCGAGGCACGGCAGATGCTCAAGGGCGAGAGTGACACGGTCAAAGAGAAGTGGTGGGAGGCGAGTGCAGCAGAGAACGTGAGTGATGGTTGTTTGCGCTTCACCGGGGTGGATGACTGATGCAGATCTCTGAAGATGTTTGATCCTCCACTGCCACCCTGTCTTTCTTTTCATCTCACTATCGCTGATTCCGCGCTGGTACTACACCTGCGCACTCTGGAATCCAGCACACCAACCCATACGCCCACAGCGTTCGCCTCGGACATCTCTCTCACCGGGTTCAACATCAGGGACCGGCTCTTTGGCACCCGCCACCGGCCGCATGATGAAGCCGGCGATGTCTTCACCTGGAAGGGCGACGAAGTGAAGGTGAAAGAAAAAGTACGCGTAGAAAGTCAGGACCCGAGCCTGATGGCCGTCATGGCTAAGTTGACTGCCCTGGAGCACGAGGTCCAGAAATGGATCTCGGCCCTGAAGGTGCTTATGGGTAGCGAAGATACAGATAGTGACTCCTAGTTTTCCAGTTGTGTAAGAGAGAATTACAACCTTGGATCTCCAATTCTTTGCCAAAGCTTCGAGACACTCCGGTCTAGATCATTGGATAGATTACGTAAGCTAGCTTCCCCTTGCGCCTGCCAATCAGAGGCAAACAATTTGCATCGTCTTGGCACAAGTTTTCCGAGCTACAAAGTTGCAGGCAGGGTGGCAAGTCAACAAATTTCTGCGCAGGTACATCCTTCTGTACTTCATTTCCCAAAGTTGCGGACAGAGTCGCGGACTGGTGAAGATGCTGTCCAGATCTCCGGCGACACGGGCGACCCCCCAGGGGCTGCTGCGCGCTGCAGTCAACAGAACGTCGCAGTTCAGCACGCAACAACAACTCCGCCGCGGAGCGGCAGGCTTCGTGAACGGGCGGTCCCGGACTACGACCACAAGGAGATGTCTCTCCTCGATCTCGAACATCAATAAGCTCCCGCGAGCATCGACAGAAATCCGGCCTGCACAATCCACGATTGCATCGAGGTACTCTTCCTCCGCAACGCCCGCCGTGCCGGATGCTACACATGCGGAGCGGAAGGATGCCGTCTACGCCCTGATCGATGAGATCAACCAAAATGAAGCCGCCATGGCCGATATCATGGACGAACTGGACTTGCTCGACGACTTCGATCAGGCTCTCAGCCTCGATGGCCTGGAATATGAGCACGCATTCAGCCAGACCATCGGTCACCGAGACCAGGAGACTTTGGAGGGACGGGTGCGGATGGCGAGACAGGAATTTCGGGAATACCTGCCCCCCGACTATCTGAACGCACGCGAGACCGAACTATACACTAGACTCTACGGTGAACCGATCTATCGTGACCTTGACAGCATTCAACCGGACCTCGAGCTCGCTGAAGACGTCGAAGAAGAACAAAACCCCGCCGCCGATCAACTTTACCGTGAAGATGGACAAGGAGGTTGGGAAGAGGTTGAGATGGTGGAGGAAGAGCTCGAGCTCGAGCGCGAAGCGGAGGAGGATGACATGCCCGTGGTTTACGACATGGAGGCTGGACCGGAGGTGCCGGAGACAGACGCCATGCGGCGCACGCGCGAGATCGCCGAGCAGCTCGGCGGAGAGGTTATGCTGGAGCAGTTCCAGGACGAGGCTGTGCCCGATGGGAACGATAACCCCCGATTCCACCCGGCCACTGAGCTGGGTCGATCTGGCACGAATCCCAGCACGGTTTTCCTGCCAAATGACTCGTTGGTGAAGCCCATCTCGATGATTCTCTCGAACTTCTCCAATAAGCACATCCAGGAGACCGCGCGTCGTGTCTTCAAGGGCCAGTACCTTCCTCTGTCCGTTACGACGCCCCCCAGATCGGTTCAAGCCCCTCAATTACCGAGCCCTCTGGAGGCTTCGCAGCGTCATATGTCCGAGATGGAATCTAATGCTTACCTCGCGGCCATGTACCCTGGCTTCTATGCGAGCGTGCTGAGTGTTCTGGTTGAGGTCCGCAAGCGTCTGGGAACAGACTGGCTGCGAGGTTTGATTTCCAAGGAAGAAGGTCCGAGTGTGCTTGATGCCAGTGCTGGAGGTGCTGGTATCATCGCGTGGAGGGAGATTATGCGTGCAGAATGGGAGGCTATGGACCCAGAGCGCCCTTTCTCCGAAATTCCAATCGGCAAGTCGACGGTCGTGGTAGGATCTAATAGTCTTCGTGCTCGCGCTTCTGCGTTGCTGCATAACACCACATTCCTACCTCGACTTCCTGATTACGTTCACCTTCGCGAAAATGCGACGCTAGAAGACGACCGGGCCCCGAAGCGGAAACAGTTCGACATCGTCATCGCCCCCCACTCCATTCACCCGATCGACGAGGAGTATCTGCGGAAGGAGCATGTCAAGAACCTTTGGCAGCTTGTCAATCCTAACGGTGGTATCCTCATTCTGCTTGAGAAAGGACACCAGCGGGGCTTTGAGGCCATCGCCGGAGCCCGTGAGATGCTGCTCAAGCGCGTCATCCGCAACACCGACCTCAAGACCTCAGACCAGGAAATCGCTTCGGAAGAGGATGCGGAGGACGACCTTGACCTCGACAAGGAACCTGGCATGATCATCGCGCCTTGCACCAACCATGCCCAGTGTCCCATGTACCGTGTTCCCGGCCACACTGTTGGGCGCGGCGACTGGTGCCACTTCAAGCAACGATACATCCGTCCCCCCTTCCTGCAGCGCATCATCGATGCCAAGACGCACAACCACGAGGACCTGCGATTCAGCTACCTCGTGGTGCAGCGTGGGGTCGATCTCCGCGAAGAGAAAGGCTTCAAGCAGGACCGCGTGGCCAAGTTCCAGGCCGCCAAGGGATACGAGCACCTGTTCCCGGACCCGCAGGCGCGCGCGGCCATGCCTGAGGAGGAACAGCAGAAGCTCGCGGAGCAGGAGGCGAAGTTCGAGCCGCTGACGCTGCCGCGCATCGTCTACCCGCCGCTGAAGCGCCGCGGACACGTCACCTTCGACATCTGCACCCCGGATGCGCAGATCGAGCGCTGGACCGTCCCTCGCTCCTTCAGTCGCCAGGCGTACCGGGACGTGCGCAAGTCGCAGTGGGGCGACCTGTGGGCGCTGGGGTCGAAGACGCAGATCGAGCGCAATGTCAAGCTCGGCACGAAACACGGGGTGAGCAAGAAGGACCGGCTGGAGGCGCGCGCCGCGGCCCGGGAGGCGGCCAAGGACGCCCAGGAGGAGGAAGGCGCCGATGCAGCAGCTCAGAACCGCAAACCGGAGCTGCTCATTCCCAAGCGAAAGAAGGGAGAGAAAATCCCTAGCTGGAAGAAGCATCAGGATAAGAAAAAGGTGCGCCAGCATTACAGTCAGTTGAAGCCTGCGGATTCGTAGGCAGGAGGTCAAAATGTTCAGGAGGTTCGGGGTTTTCTGATTGGGATTATTGTTTTTTTCTTTTGATTGGCGGCGTATTCTAAGGGGATTCTGCTGCCGGGCTGCGGACAATCATCTACGGGTTATGGAGCATATTTGGGCATAGATTCTGTAAATCTTCATGTATCATATGTGGTTATTTGTATGGATATTAGCTATCATAGTTGAGCTCTTCACTCAAAAGGCATTTTCTCCACTTCCATGTCTTGGTCATCAGTGTTTCGTTGAGCTCGTTTTTGTGTGACACTTCTGGGTGATAAGTGCAGGCCAGGCTTGAGTCCAGCTCACTGGATTGTTGTGGTTTGGGACCGTCCATCAGTCTTCGTAGGTTGTGTCAGAAATCACTGTGACATCTGCACGACACGAGCAAGACGGACCAGGAAGGGGGAGAGGCTAGACACCCGTTGAGGCTTGGATGATACTAGATTGACCGGCCACAAGGTGCCCTGATGGTTCAATCCTGCCACCCCGAACCCGCAAGTCAAGCGAGCCCAGGACACGAGTCCCGTCATTTCACATCTGGCCATGCGGACCGACCCTGCTCGAGAGATTTTGGCAGGCACTCCCCGCTCCGACCAACAAATAATAAAAGTCATATCCTATCCGACAGCACGCCCGCATTTTCACTGAAAAGCCATACTCTTGCGCAGCTGCCGTTCGCGCTGCTTCCCCTGCAGCTCCAGCCGCTCGACCGCGTACTGCAGGCGTTCTTTCTTCTGAATCAGTCGCCGGAGCTCGGCCGCCTTGGCCGCGTTGCTGGCTGCGGCCGCCGCCGCCGCCTGCCGCCGGTCACCGAACGCACCACCGGGGTTGGGTTTGGGTTTGTTGGCCAGCTGTCTCTTCTGCTGCTGTCGCTCCTCGTTGGAGTATAGTCGCCCCTGCTGCAGATCGCACTTGGCGCGGAGCCCCTGCTCGCGCCGCGAGAGCTTCTCAACGTGGTTGGTGGCCAGTTCGAGGAGGTGGGCGATGCTGGGGGTGATTTCGTCGAGGAGGGATTGCTGCGCTTCGCGGAGGGTGGGTTCGGGGAGGAGTTCAAAGTGCTGTGTCTCTGGGTTAGTGGGTTTGTTTTTTTGTTGAGGGTTGGAGAGGTTGGGTTAAGCGGACGTACTCGGGTGGTTTGGAGGACCTTGGATAGGCGGGGGAAGTCGCTGACTCCGGCGTCGAGGGTGGAGATGGAGGAGTCGAGGAGTTGGAGGGAGGATTGAAGGGATGAGACGGAGTGTTGGAGGTGGTCTGCCATGGTCGCGGTGGTGTGTTGTATTATTCTGACTCTTGGGTGCCTGTATGATCAATTTGCAGATGTAGTAGCTGGATGATGTTGTTATCGATTGCCGGATGTTTACATTGTCGGGAGCGGGAGAGGCGACAAAAGCGGCGGGCAGACTATCCCCCTTTGGGTCTCGGACACCCGGACAAACCTCGTTGCATCCGCAACCTCCCTCGTTCCGCCTCGCTCTCCTTCTACCAGCTGCTGCATCTTCCTTATCCTCTCCTCACACCCAGCACCTCGCTTTCACACAACTTGCTTCACCATGTCTCTTCTCGGAAAGAAGTTCCCCACTCCCGTTGGTGAGTTTCTGCTTGATCCACGTGCTCTTGCTCGCGGTGTTCCCCAATTGCTACGGCATGAGTAATGAAGAATGGAATTGAAACTGACTTGGATGCCTTTATAGCCGGTCCCCTCGGCCCCTTCTTCGCTGCCGGTATGCACTCACAATCTATGTCCTCGTCTTGCAACGCTGTTTCCTTCGGCGCAGAGCCGAAACGACGCGACGAACTGTGAAGGGCTCCCAAGTTTAACATGCAATCACTTACAGGTCTCGTCGTCCTCTATGGCGTTAACTCCCTCCAGAACGCCCTCATGAACAGTAAGTTGATTCTCGCGCTGCACCACACCTGCCCCCTATGATCTACGAGGGGAGAGAAAGTCTGCCGACACAATTGCCGCTCTCGCACACACCGAACCCCCAATCACTAATCGATCCTTTGCTCTACAGCCGCCGAGTTCAAGAACGACCCCCGCAACCCCAACGCCAAGGCCACCAAGCACTAGACGTTTTGTTTTCTTTTTTCTTGTAGAGAGACAAAGCTGTTATGGCGGACGTCATGAAGGGTTGATTTGAGCGCGGACATGATTCCGTTATTGGGGTCGAGTTTGCGGGCAACTTTTTTCACCCTGTACAAGCATATAGAAGAGATACCGTCATAGGACATATTGGTGAATTGACAAGTTGTATCAATATCAGTATGTTTCTCTTTCATGCTTAGGCTTTTCAGTTTGGAGTGCGCGGGGTGCGAGCCCAAGTGTGCTTTGAGAGGGTTGAGAGGGTGTCGTTGTCTGCCTGGCCAAGCCAGGGCCAATTAAGTGAGCATGCCACCGGTCTATCTTGGTTCTCTGGACTCGAATGCAATCCTCGGCAGGGCATTGACCGCATATTGTACCTGCCATACGTAGTTCGTGGGTAGAGGCGTGTTGACATGCCCGTGTCGACAGCGCAATTGAATTTCCTCAGTCTGTGTCGCTCAATGCATTTTTATACAACATTTCTTCCTATGATAGTCAGTTGAATTGTACTCAAATCATAGCATGTTGCGGAGCGCAAATGTTAATGGGATAGTGCACTAAGCTCGATCGGGAAGGCATATTTTCCCTTCCCGTGACTTCGCCGCGCCGGCCAAACTCCCGTGGGTATCGGAACTCCTTCAGCAAATCCCCAATTCGACCTCGAACCCCAGTCGCTTGCCCCCGGCACACCGATCCCACCATGTCTATGTTCAGGAACAAGAAGCTCGACCTCGGCGGCTTCATCAACGGCAAGATCATCCGTGACCACACCAAGCGGAGAGTCTTCGAGGCGAACGAAGTCGAACGGTATGAAGCCCTGCTGCACTACACTCTCGCCGAACTGCGCCCTCCAGGCTTGCGCTTCTGTTCCCTTCCAAGTCCGACCTGGAGAATGCCACTCGCTAATGCATCTCCCGCTGTATAGTCAAGCGCTCCGCTACGTGATCCGCAACACCACCCTGCCGCAGCGTGCCCGTGCCCAGGCGCAATTGCAGCTGGCCCAGATGCACGCTTACACCCGGTCCACCCAGATCAAGAACCGTTGTGTAGCGGGTGGTGTCGCCAGATCCGTCATCCGGGACTTCCGACTTGGAAGAGTGAGCTCCCCTTCTTTATCTCGAGGACCTACGGTAGGCATAGAGTTAGCTAACGTGAGGGCACTTTTCTTGCCGTACAGTACCAATTCCGTGAACAGGCGTTGGCCGGTGAGCTTCCCGGCGTGAGGAAGGCCAGTTGGTAGACTCGGTTGGTTGGTGGTGGTCGTTTGCGACACCTAGGGGTCTATGTGCATTTGACAAGCTTCTCTCTGGGTTGGTTCGGTGCTTTCCTGATGGCGTTTTTCTTCTTTTTGTGTGTTCCTTCTTCCTTCCCATTCTCCCCGGGGGAAGGAGATGTACTATATGTTATGATGGGTGTTGATCGAGAATATAAAATCAGCGATCTTGATGAGAATTCGTGACTGCTGAGGGGAGGGGGTTCTGGCTTGGGTTAGGATTGGTGCACTCTGGGGGAGGAACACCCTGGGAATCTTATGGCTGTCGGAATTGGTCTGTCTGTTCTAGCATCTTTCTTGTCTTGCAGCTGAAGACCAGCGAAGCGCAGTTCTGCCTTTCTCCAGTGTGCATGATACACGAGAACAGGATTGGTGGCAGAGAACCCAGATCTTTATGGACGGTTCCTGCTCCGTTCCTTAAGAAAACACAGCCAGAAACCGCTTCGAGGTTGAGACTGACCGGACTCTCACCTTCCCATTCACTGCACGGCAAACGGAGCTTCACCTTTGAAATCACAGCGGGAAGCTGCATCTCAGCATCAATTTCCCAAATTCACTGCCTTATTCTACTGTCCTCTTATCTCTTTGCTTCTTGTCCATTCTCACTTCTGCTTCACAGCGCAACAACAACAAAACAACTACTACTGGCTCCGTCTACCTCACTTCGTTGAAGATGTTCGTCTACCGCCGCGAAGATCTACCTACGGACCCGGTGTTTCCAGCGGACCTGACAGAACTGGGGTAGCTCTCATAGCAGATCCAGTCACAAAGTAGCCATCATGCTGAGAAAGGACACAGGTACTTCGTGACCGACCAGGACCAGATCCGCAAGATCTCGGACCCAACACAGGAGTTCCAGTACAAGATCAACCGCAACTGCCGCTGGAATGATGTCCAGAGAGAGGCTATGAACGGTATGTCGGTCCTCGATGCGACTAGCTATCTGCATGAGTTTCCACTGCTCCTGCTCTGTCCCTGCTCTACTCCTCTGACAGTCGTGCTCACTTTCCCAGAATGCATCCGCAAGCTTGTCAGCGCCCGCCTGCGCGATCTCGGTCTCGTCAATCTGCACCTCCCGCTCCGTGCCACAACCAACGAGGCCCATGTCCCGATCATGGTGTCGAGGAACCTGTCCACGGCCTCGCACATCATCGTGGTGTTCGGCGAGCCTATCCAGGACCTGGGCATCTGGGCTTACCGCAGCGTTGGCGGTGACGGGATCGACGCAGGCTCGCTCGTGTCCTTTGCGAGGGCCGTCCTGCGGCAGGGCCAGGCCAATGGCAATAGTGGCAATGGTGACAGTGATGGTGATGGTGATGCAGCAGACATGCCCAACACCGCGCTGGTGCTGGCCAACACCGGTCAGCTCGTCTGGCACTGTGCCTCCGGTCAAGCGATCACGCTGGTCCATTGGCAGAACATGCCCCGTCCCTCGGCTGTGGACCCGCCCCCCGGCATGTCGCTCCGCAACCGAATCCCCGGCCACGAGTACTGGCAGAGACATGTCAACCGGGTGTTCGAGGACATCCTGTCCGCGCGGGGTCGGCTGGTGCGCCCGGATGCGAGAATCAGTGTTGTGGGGGCCTCGGAGGGAGGGCTGGGTGCTCTTCGGTACCTGAATAAGCACTGTGAGTGTTGTCGTACCTTCCTGGTTTTCCGTACGGGGCAGAGCAATACTGATGCCAGTTCGATGCCATGAAACAGGGAGTTCCTGGAGACCATTCATCTCGGCGATCTGTCTCGCCAATCCGCTTCAACTGGCCAGGATCGAGTTCGGGAGCGACTACGAGAACGCCGCCTCGGCGGATTCGACCTCCTTTGCGGCCTTTGTGGCGTCCCGCTGCCGCGGGTATGTGCTGTCGGACCAGCCCCTGGGGGTTCCGGTCGAGGCGATGCTTGATAGTGGGTGCAATTGCTACGCCTCGGGCGAGGGATTGAACTCGGAGTGCATCATGCTGAAGGCGTGGAGGCATGCGCTGGGGTGGCTGAACCAGGCTTTTGCGGATCCGGGCTACGGAGAGGCGAGGTTGGAGATTATGCATTTTGACGGTGGTGAGTTGGATGATACAGTGGAGGCTGATGGGGATGATGCGGTCGAGGCGAACGTGGCTGAAGACGGAGAGCGCTCTTAGGTTGCGTTGTCTTTGTTTTTGTGGTTCGGCTTTTTAGGTGAACGAGCATGCTGAACCTTGACATACATCATGTCTTGTAGCGTGATAGCTTCAAAAGTTATTCCGTATTTCTACTGATACTTCAGAGGGGAGGATAGTGGCATGTGGGGGGACACTATCTCGTAGCTCTTGCTCCACTGCCCGACTCGGCATTATATTCCAGATGCCCAGTGGTTAGCACAAGGCTGGTGCACAAGTTGGCCAGACGTTGTCTTCGAGGCCAGCTTAGCCAATTACCCCATACTGAACCCACCGCATCTTCAAAAACAGACAAAGACACTAACCATGACCTGCAATGCTTACAAATATCCACCGAACTCCCCACACACCTCAACGAAACTTACAATGCCACATTGTTCATCGTAATCATACAAGTGATAAGTACAGTCCACACTACATCTGTGCATCCTTCTCCTTCTCCTCCCACCGTTCTCTCACCCTCCTCCTCACCCCACCATTCACCCCCCTCCCCCAGATCTCCTCCTTGACACCCGTCCCAGCAGCAACATCCTCCCCATCCCCACCCTGACCACCACCATCCCTACCAAGACCACCACCAACCACCTCCCTCCCCACCACGACCTTAACCTCCCTCACCCTCCGCTCCCTTCCCCGCGCCACGCGCATCTTCCGCAGATAAATCGCATAAATGCCCACCTCGACCGCGCCCACGCCCAGCGCCGCCCCCATCGCGACCAACACCTTCGCCCCAGCCCCGGCAGGTACCCACACATGCAGGGCCCAGAACACGCTGAACCCCGTGATCAGCACCGACAGGAAGATATTCAAGACCAGCGAGGGGGTGATGGTCTCTTTGTCGCCGAATTCCGGGGAGGCGGAGTGGTGGTCGTGTAAGGCGGAGAGGAGGGGGGTGCTGGATGTGAAGATCGGGTTGTTCTTGAATGCGGAAGGCTGGAGGGGGGTGGGACTGGTCATGCGGTTGTAGGCGTCTGCTTCGGCGGCGGCGAGGAGGCGGGATTTGTGGGCGAGGTATTCTTTTGTCTGTTCCAGCGGGAATTTAGTTTGGGTTGGGGGGAGGGGTGGTGAAGGGTGAAGGGCAGGGACCGGAGGACAGCTTACCGGCTCGGGTTTGGGCGGAGGCGGAGGGATGTAGACCTTCGTGCCACGGAGGAGGGTGTTTAGGCTTCGTTTGCTCCGGGGATTGGATTCGGGATGGGAGGTTGTACTCGAGGAATCATTTTCTTGAGGGGGGAGGTTCGCCCGGAAGTATCGTGCGAGCTCAATCACCTGGGCGTGGGAGATGGGGTCGGCGAGTTGGAGCGCGGAGGGCAGAGCGAGGGTTTGGCGGGCGGAGGCGGGGACGGCCTCGTATGCGGCGAGGATGGTCTCGGTGGTGGTGAGATTGACCATTCTGCTGTTGGGACTGGTTGTGTAGACTAGTCGTGATGCATTGTGGATGTTGGTTCGTTCGACTGTTGTTATGGGAGGACGATGTCGTGTAGTGTATGTAGTAGTTCCGCCGCAGCTCCGCGGTGGACTTCTGATTAAACCGGCAGAAAACCAGGGCACCAGGGCACCATTCCCAAACAAGCAACCACCTTCCACTCCCCGCCCCGATTCCTCCCCCCACTTTAACCTAACCTAACTTGACTGATCCAACTGGGCGGGCTGGCAGCGCAGCTTCATCAATGCAATCTGGATAACATCTTCTGCGCCGCTCCCCTCTTATTCCTCTTCCACCAACAACCCCCCACCCCCAATCCCAGCAATTAAAAATGACAGACTCCAAACCCGCGTACGTCTTTCCTCTCCCCCACCCCCCCCACCAATTCCAAACCACCAAAAAGCTAACCCCTCCAAAAAAAAAAGCCCCCCAACAACAAACCCCCGCGGCATCCCCGCAGCCCCCTTCATCGACGCCGTCACAGACTACGTCTCCAGCCGCGCCGAGGTGGAACCGACCCTGCGGTCCTTCCAGGAGATGATCTCCAAGTACCAATTCATGGAGGTCAACACGACGAAGCGGGCGGCGGGCCTGCGCGACAAGATCCCGGACATCACCAAGACGCTCGAGATGGTGCGGTTCTTGTCGTCCCGGAAATCCACCGACGCCCCGCTGGAGACCAACTTCGAGCTCAACGATACCCTCTACGCCCGCGCCACCGTCGCCCCCGCCGACGCCGACGAGGTCTACCTCTGGCTCGGCGCTAACGTCATGCTCGCCTACCCCATCGCCGAGGCCGCCGCCATGCTCGCGGAGAAGCTGGCCGTCGCCGAGACGTCCCTGCAGAACTGCGAGGAGGATCTGGAGTTTCTACGGGAGCAGATTACGGTTCGTCTCGTCTCGCCTTTTCTTTTCGGGAGTTTTCGGTTTGGTCGTTGTTTGGGGTGGGGTTGGGGTTTGTTGGGGTGAAATGGGAAAAGTGACGGGTTCTCAATGCTAACTTCTTCCTCTGGTAGACGCTGGAAGTCGCGACGGCGAGAGTCTATAACTGGGATGTCGTGCAACGGCGGAAAGAAAAGGTCGAGGGGAAGGGGGAGGAGGAGGAGGAGAAGCAATAAACAACAACACTTCGGGCTCGGTTTGGTTTTTGTCATCGCTGGCGTCTTGATATCATTGCAATGTATGTATGTATGGATGTAGGTACTTCTGTCAACCACAAGCAGATTCTTCTTTTTAGCACCACTAAGTCTATTACTGTTCAATCTATATAAGGGTGTCAGGCATATTCCAGCGAGAATAGCAATTAGAGTGTATCTTGCAGTAATCCCCCTGCCAAAGCATCATAATTCATCAAACACAAAGAGCAAAAACATCATAAATGCTCACGCATACAATTCTGCTTCAACCTGCTCATGCATCTTGAAACCCCGGAACAACAGAGCCCTTAAACAGGTCATTACTATCGATTATCCATGTTGGAATATGTAATCATCAAATCATTATCAGTCGAGGGTCCGCATACGCAGCCCTCCAGTGTGAAACACTGTTCACTCGCGCATTCGCTTCGCAATGTCCACATCAGTGTCCTCGCCCACAAATGTCCATTCTTCAATGTCGGCCACGTCGTCATCGGCCTCTTGTTCCGCGATGGTCTTGGCTGCAGGAGTCGGCGAGAATGGCGTCGACGAAGCAATCGACCGCTGTCGGACCAGATCCTTCGCATACTCGAGGTCCCGGTAGATGGCCTGGATCGCGGTATCCACCCCATCTTCCTGTTTTGACGTTAGCCTGCCGATGCAGTAATTGCCTCTGAAGAGGAACTTACGCTTCGAATCTGCTTGCCCAGTTCGCGTGCCTTCACAATCATTCGCTCGCTGTGGGTCGCCTCCCACAAGGCTCTCGAGAAAACGCTCACATTCAGCCTCTTCATGCAGATACCTACTCCCAGGTCTTCGACTCGGGTGCCGAAGAAGAATTGATCGCCGAAGAATGGCTTGATGATGGTAGGCACGCCAGCACGCAAGCTAGCCCCAGTAGTTCCCGCCCCGCCGTGATGCGCTGCGGCATCGATTTGTGAGAAGAGCCAGTCGTGAGGTGCAGCCTGGATCTGGAAGATCTCCGGTGGCAGGGGAATCTCTGCTTTGGCACTTGAAGGGTCGCCCAGTCGATCAGACCATCCTTTGGACAAGATACAACGCACGTCCGCCTTCTGGACCGCTTCAACGACAGTCCGAGTGAGAGCCGATGGGTCCGAGACGACAATTGAGCCGAACCCAATATATACTATCTTCTTGCCATCGTCGCGAGCACGTCGAATGAATCCCATCAAGTCTGCCGGTGGAGTCCAGTCTGTTCCCTCGTTCAAGAACCAGTACCCAGTGATGCGGATCCAGTCGGGATAGTCCAAGGGTGGAGGTACCACAGTAGGGGAATAATTGTAAAGAAATGGCACCTTGTTCGGTTGCATCTTGTCTAGTCCAGTCGCTTTGAGACCTAGTTCGATCTTTCTCCACCGGTTCACCTGCCCCGCGATCGCCTTCCAAAAGACATTGTCAAACATCACATACGTGATGTAGTTATAGGCTCCACCCATTTTATACTCCGGGACGGCAAACGCGTGTGGATACGCTCGTGTCCGGGTCCAAGGCATCGTAAAGGCACGGAAGTATGGGATGCGAAGGGCCTCGGCGATATGGATGCCAGCCATCGCGCTCGGCGACTCAATGAGCAGGTCACTGTCCTGGCAGGCCTTCCAGGCAGAAGACAGTAGATCGTCAATCCAACCCCGGAACTTCGTTGAGGCCTCTTTAAGGAACGAATACGTGAACATTCCATTTTCCACGCAGATCCGCATCAGTTCCGCGGGGTCGCCCTCCACAGGCGCAAACTCAATGCCGTGCTTTCTCACCCAGGGCCCGAACTCTGCATGAGTTGCGATCCTAGGCCGGTGGCCTTCAGCAAGGAGGCCCTTGCACAAGGCAATGTATGGCTGCACATCACCACGGGAACCGATGGTCAGACATGTGATTCGTAGGGACTCAGTGGGTTTGAAGTTGATGATGGAGGCGCGTGGGTCATCAAAAATTGGATGAAGTTCAGAGGACTCCACGAGCGCGGAGCGGGAGCTTTGCAGCACAGACGCATCCAGCCGTGCTTCAAGAAGCATACGGTGCTCTGCCTTTGCTGCTTCCGACTCAACCTTCTCGTCTTCTTCCCCGAGTAGCCCAGACTCTGCCAGAAATCTCACCGTCTCAAGACCTTGATGCAGTGTGACGGCGCAATCATCCCGGATATCAGAAGCACTGAACTCGAAAAACAGCTCTTCATGGCCTCGAATCACGACCACGAGGCCATGGTAGCCAAATCGGAAGCCTTTTTCCTTATCGACATTTTCAATGTCCTTCAAAGGGAGAATCATCTTAGTGCGAGTTCCCGGCAAAAGACTGCGGAAACACAGCTTCTTCTGACTGATATAGATCTTGCCGTAGAGTGGCAGCACTCGATGTAGATATGCAAAGTAGGTCGCTTGGAGCTTTTCGGTGGGGGGTAGCGCAAAGTGCGCACGAAACCGGTCACCATCCTTGCATCCTCTCTCCTTGTCTTCGGGATCGACGGCTTGATCGTCGGCAAGTATCCCCTCGGCTTCTCCGTAATGCTTCCGGCCACCGGCCCACATCCCGGACACCTTTTCTATGTAGCCCATAGATTCACTTGCAAGGATGTTGCTCATCTGCTTCGACCGCGTTTTGAGATACTCCGCAAACCCGGCAGCGCGCTGCAAAGGGTATGTTCCCGCCCGTACGATGTCATTCAGAGCGTGCGCCGAGGGCTGTATTCGCGAAGAGCCTTGAGTTTGAGTTTCCTGGTCAAAGTCACTCTGAGTATACTGGATTTCTTGCCCTTCTCTGGTAAATGCAGGCCCCGCAGTATCGTTGCCGTAGGCATGCATCGATCGAGTTGTTTCATCAGAGTATCGCCGGGGGGTTCGACTAGCTGCGGAAGGACCTCTCCGTAAGCTTTGAATTGTAGGAGAGTGGAAGACGTCGCTTCTGTTCAGGATCTGACTGGCCGATTCTGTTGTGTCTGTCATTGACTGCAAGAGGGCAGAAGACTCGGTGGTGTGCTCCAGGGCATGGCTAAACGACGTCGATGAGTCCTGCTGTCTCGTTGAAGGAGACATGGTCATCGGATCATTGCCAAATACAACCTGACCTGTGCTTGCACTTCTCCGTCGCTGCATGCTAGCATTCGCGCCGCCTCGAGGTTGACTTGTACCACTAGTGATTGACCACCTATTTTGCGCCACCCGGGAACGACGGGAGCGAGTCAAATGGTTGGGTTGAGGTGATAGAGCCTGCTGTGACCGTTTCATCGGGGAATTGTCAACAAGACCTTTCAGATAGTTGAAAGCGTCTTGGCCGGAATCGAAAAAGGAGAAATAGTACTGCGTGACTCGAATTAGTGGATGCCATCTCGGCATTGGAGTCGATGAACGTACCTCGTCAATCGCATATGTTTCCTCGCTCTCGACAATACGGATTTTGAAAGTCTCGGCAAAGTCGACCATCGGACTTTCCTCTATGTCTATAATGCTCTCAATCGGAAAGGAGATCTTCACACTGTCGCCTTCATTATGAGTCCGGAAGATGACTTTTTGTAGAGCCTTGACCCATTCCTTGGCACTCGCGGAGCTGTCTGCTCTGAAGTAGTAGGTTCGCTGATCGGTTGTGACCTGGAAATCTCTCGTCTCTCGGCTCTTGTCCTTTGGTTCTGCTAAGGATGCAGAGATCCCATAGCGGAGATCGACGTGGCCGCTGGGGAAGTACAGATTCGAGGGGTCTGCATAGTATGAGAGCACATCGCCTTTCAGGGAGAACCAGTAGCGATTGTATTTAGGGTTCTTCCGGCCCCGTTTGTAGAGAAACCCGGATTTGATAGCCGCAGTCGATTTCTTGGGTAAGTAGGCATAGAAGCAGATGTGGCCTTCCGTGACATACATGTATCCCTGAAGCAGCATACTCTGTAAGAGCGAACACGCATACTCGACAACCACTTTCTCCGGGGCGTCGAACCCAAACATCTCTTTGAGTCGCACGGAGAGGGAGGTCCCCGACGACTGCTTGTGGTCTTTGTCGCTCTCTTCGTCCGTTCGGTCCGAGGAGCTTTCGGGAGACTCCTTCGCGTCCAATGCGGCTTGTGCTTCGACCATGCGACTGAGAACAGGGGCCGCCCGCGGCGTAGCACTGCGTGGTCGTCTGGGGGTCGAGGCCCGAGACATCTCATCGTCCGTGGGTGGTTCTGAATGTATGGTGGGTTCTCGCTCTTTGCCTCGCTTGGCTGTCGACATGAATGATCGCAAAAGCTTGTTCTCAGACAAGACCCTCTGGTGACGACGCCCTCTATCTTGCGGTGGGCCTGTGGGTTTGGGAGACCGGCGACTACCGGGCCCGACCTTGTTGGGCGACGCAGAAGTCGATGTGATGTCTTCATGCTCCTTTGGAGTGCGGTCTTCATTCTCCCCATCACTGTCGCTTGATTCGTCGAATCGTGCATGGAAGTCCGATCTAGAGCCCACAGCGGCGATCATGGAGAATATGGATTGCTGCATGTACTGCATGTGACCGTCGCGAGCTGCGACGCCGGCGGGGGGCGCAGAGAAGTCGACTTGCGCATCGTGGTCGTCTTTTAGTCGTTCCGGGAAAGCACTGGCAAAGATGCGGCTGGAAGAGATGGACTGCTTGCTTGCGCTGAGCCTCCGGTCCACTCGCCGTTTGGTATCGTCGATAAAGGGTCGCATGGTTGTAACGGTTGAAAGAAAATGTGGGACAAACGAGTGAACTCTGAAATGAACAGGCACAGAGAATATGAGCTTGATGCAGATGCTGACAATAATAGTGCGGATGATGGCGATGAGGAACGTGATCGGCCCTTCAGGATCAAAGGAGTCAGTAGGTGTAGGTTCGAGTCACGTTAGAGGGTCAAGAGAGTACACAGCTATCTTGAAGCATGTGACCCGTTATGTCAAAGGAGTATAGTTAATGATCACAGAGAGCGAGAGCTTCGCCTCTAGGTTGTGAACAAAAAAGAGAAAAAGTGGATGAGTCGAAAGTCAAATCGAACGCACCGGACGTGTGCTAGAAAAGCAGCTGTCTGATAAGGCAGGTTGACAGATAGCCTGGAGCTATGGAAGAAGTGCCGGAATCACAAGGCTGGTCAAGCCGTCAAGGCAGCAGAGACCGAAGTTGGGGAAGCATGGTCAAAAGGAGAGACTAGGATGTTTGAAAGATTGTGGGAAGGGGGGGAGGAGAGCTTCTGGAATGTAAGGAAGGATAAAGAGTGAAAGAAGAAATAGGCGGTCGAGCAGGAACAGCCGCAGTAGCAGCAGGCTGGTTTGGTTGAGTTGTGTGATGCAGAGCAAAGGAAGCAAGCAAGCAATAGATAAGTTAAGGAACAGTTAAGGTAGTACTTGGGGGGGTCCGGGGGTGGGAGAAGACTCCACTGGCGTCATGTCTGGCTCCAGTCTGTATCAGCTGTTCACTGAATCTATAGTGACCAATCAATACTTGGGCATGTGATTTCCCCCGGAGTCGGGATCAATGCTACACTTGCCCCTCATTGGTTTGTTCTGCTAATGTAAGCAAGACCGGTGTTACTCAGCGGTATCTGGGTGGAAATATAAATTACCACCTCAATCAGCGCAAGGAGGACGAGGACCCTGGCAAACTACTTTGGAACTTTGGATAGTTGATAAATTCAAACTTATTGCAACCTCCATGTGGTTATCCGATCTCATGTGAACGGTTGTCCGGGCAGCAGCCTGGCAGGCCCCAACTTCTATCGTTCTATCGTCTTTATGATCCACGAGGCTCCAGTACGAGGAGTTAGTGGCTAAGTTACGCCTAGCAGCCCTGTTCGAAACCCAAAGTCGGGGTTGATCGGCACTAATTGTTGTCGGCGGTGGGCCCAGAATAACCCTCGTCTGAAAATAGAGTCCTGCCCTCCAACTTGGAATACTGCACCCTATTGCAATTTGCGACACAGGCGATTGTTGCATATATACAAGTAGACAACAGTCACATAATTATCACATGCCAAACGGAGCCGCAAGATTACACCTTGTCTAGTAATGCCAACTTTTAATAGAAGAAACAAAGGATAGCAGCCCCTCCCCCCCAATCATCGCCTCAATCAAGCCGCCTTATCCGCTTTCTTCCGCTTCTTCTCGTCTCGGCTCTTACTCGACTTCTTCTTGCTCTTCTTGTCCTCATCGGCCTCTACAGGCTCCGCGTCCTGGGACGATGTGTGCTTCTTGGACTTCTTGCGGGACACCTCGCTACTAGGCGCTCCTTCTTCCTCCGTAGGGTGGTGCTTGCGCTTCCGTTCTTCCCGCTCCTTCTCCGACGACTTGGGCACTTTGAACGTGGGCTCGTCTCCGTCGGACTCTTCGGCACTGGACCCGATCGTCTCGGGGGGCAGCTGTCCGCTTCCGACGGGGTGGAAGCGCATCTTCAGGTTCTTAGGCTGCTTGCGCGGGGGCTTGACCTGCTCCTTGGCGGCCGCGAGGATGTCCTCCTCCGACGCGCGGGGCAGGTCCACCAGCTCTTGGATGTGGTAGCTCGGGATGTTGCTGGCGGCCGTGCTGTAGTAGGTCTTGGTTTTCTGGTCGTAGAGCTGGAGGGTTTGTCCGCCCACCCCGGGCTGCTTGATGCTCTCCACGGGGATGCCGTATTGTACGCCCTTGTACTTCAGGACCGGCTTGCCTTGCATGATCTTGGCCAACGAGACTTCTTCGACTTTCGAGAGGGGGAGGTAGTCCGGCGCGGTGATGTGGTAAACCTGCTTGCCGCGCAGATCGGACAGGAGCGAGGAGACATTGCTTTTCGGGGCACTCTGCTGTTTCACCGACTTGAATCCGGAGGGTGCCTTGTATGGTTGAGGGGCGTGGGCCGAAGGCCTAGGAATTAGGCGGTTAGTGGTCATGTGTATCCAAGTGGTCTCGCAAAGCCTACTTGGTAGAGGTTGGTGTGCTTTCGCTCTCGCTGTCGCTTCCGCTCTCGCTGCTCGACTCACCCGCCGAACTGGTCGCGGACTCAGCCGAGGATGAAGCCATCGAAACATCCTCGTCGGAGACGGGGACTTTCTCTTCTGACTTGAATGCCATGGCGCCTCTCGGGATGACTGTTGTATGCGAATTGCTGGAAGTGGAAGAGGCCGCTACGTACGAAGCGGAACGCCGAGCAGTTATGCGCTACCCCGTGACCACGGTTGCGGATCGAATTCAAGCGAGAAAATTAACAAGTGCGTAGAGATGAGAGTGCGTTCGGAATCAGGCGCGATAACACAGCTGAGACAAAATGCACGAGGCTTGGGTCTGGGCAAGTTGCGAGAAACCCGATCCGGACTTTTTGGACGATAACCTTTTTTTCTGCTCCGCGAAGCACGGACCACCCGAGAAAGTCCGCGGCCTCAAATATGAACCTTTTTTGGCAGTCCCGCCGCAGACCACTCGCTCTTGCGCATTACAGCGGTAATCCTGGGTGCTTTCAATCGCTCGATCGAGAACTATGAAGAGAAAAGCGGAGAAGTCGCAAGCGGCTGGTATTTCCTTCCCTGTGAATCAATGGTTGCGCGGGTGTGCATTGTTACTGACTCGATTTCTGATAGCTCCGGTCAGCGCCTTCGCGGCCCGCAAAGCTCGTCAGCAGCAAGCGCTAAGTGCAGTAGTAGCAGTCGAGAAGCCAGTCGCCAACGAGTCGGCCAGCGAGCCTCCTTCGAAAAAGGCCCGACACTCCCCGGAAGAAGCGACCGCAGTCGAGCAGGAACGTACCAAGCCGAGGCGATCTACAAGGCGAAAGGATGCTGATCCGGTCGAGAAACCGACAGAAGAGGCGCGCAGGGTGACACGCTCGCAGAAAGACTCACGGCGACCGGCTGAGGAACAATCCCAACCCAGCGAGGATGAAGCCTCATCAGACGCTGAGTCGGAGGTAGAAGTTGCCGCCGTCGAGGAAGCCAGTGGTGTCGGGCTTGCGTCACTGCAGGGAGATGGCGACGAGTAAAGACCTTCCCTTGCAAGCTTCCTAAACCTTTACTGATATCTATAGATTCGAGTCGCCCGCGGACACCCCTGTGCAATTGCAAGAATTTCCCCTGTCGAAGACCCGCTTGAACAAGAACAATGTGGTGTACAGCGACGAGCATAGGCTCTGCGTCCGGATCAAAGAGAAGATGGTACGACCTTACAATTTAACATCGGACATCATCATACTTACAAAGTCTAGAGTCTTGTCTTTATCGGTCACTACGACCTCTGGGTTAAGCGTGGCGTGGTTAGCCTCATGGGTGCGAAGCTGCATCCCTCGTCTCGAGTCTACAGAGTCTACGCCCCCTCGACGCATTCCTTGCCGGTGATCAAATGCGTGTCTGGAGTGGACGGTGCGGCCGAGATAGAAGTCATGTCATGTCACAGCGGCATCTACCGTCTCAGGCATATGTCGCCCTTGTATGAGCGAGTATGGAACAGCAAGAACACCGCGGCCGACAAGATCACATTGAAGAATGTGTCGCCCTCGACCAAGCGCACGTTCTCAGTGGTAAGTCTGATCCCTCCTTCTGTCTGATCCACGACTAATCCTCCTCCAGCTATACACCTCTGCGGATGATTCCTTGAAGAGACACCTCCGACCCCTGCATCTCGAGAAGCAGTGGAGTTCAGCCATCAAGTCCCTGTCTCAGCGCGGTGGGCGACTCCGAACCCTGATCTGTGGTCCCAAGGCCTCTGGAAAGTCCACTTTCAGCCGCTACCTTCTCAACCACCTTCTCAGTCCTGCTCCGCAAACCGAGTCAAGTTATCGCAACACCGACGGCGTCGCCTTTCTCGATCTCGACCCCGGCCAGCCTGAATTTTCTCCCATGGGACAAGTATACCTTGCCCATCTTCGCTCCCCAGTCTTTGGCCCTCCATTCTCTCACCCATCGTTGGACGATTCCCGCAACGGCACCATAATTCGAGCTCATCACATCGGCGCAAGCTCCCCCAAGGAAGACCCGGATCACTACGTCCTAGCGGCCAAGGACCTCATGGATCGCTACCGCTCTCTGCTGGCGAGCTACCCCCAATGCCCCCTGATTATCAACTACCCTGGGTGGATTTTCGGCCTTGGACTCGAGGTGGCTACCTACCTCGTGAGCTCTCTGGGTCTTTCAGACGTGGTCTACATGAGCGAAAAGGGGCCCGCCGAGGTGATCGAGCCTCTGGGTCAGGCCGCCGCACAGGCCAAAGTACCTCTGACGATCCTTCCATCCCAACCCACCGATTTTGTGAGCCGGTCCAGCGCGCAGCTCCGGTCCATGCAGATGCAATCCTACTTCCACAAGACCCACTCCAGCGACATGGATCACCCGTTGTGGCTCGAGCAGCCCCTCTCGCGCACCCAGCCCTTCCAGGTTCACTACTCTGGCCCCAACCAGGACATCCAAGGCATCATGGTCATGGGTTCGCAGATCCATCCCGATCTGCTCTCTGAAGTTCTGGACGGAAGTCTCGTCGCCGTCATCGCCGTGGAATCTCCCAACGCGCTTCTCGGCGGCAACTCTACCCCCGAATTCACCACCACCACTACTTCGGCTGTTACCGCCGACGCCAGCGACGCCGCCTCCGACATCAGCATGGCTGACGACGACAACGACCACAACAACAACAACAACAACGGGCCCTCCAACCACCCAAACCCCGCCACAACAACGACCCTCGCCTCCAACATCACCCTCACCCCCCACGAATCCCTCCCCTACCTCTTCGCCGGCTCCGGCAGCTCCAACCCGCTCGACCCGCGCAAATCCCACAGTTTGGGTCTGGCCCTCGTCCGCTCCATCGACCCGGCCTCCCACACCATCGACCTCGTCACCCCGATCCCCCGCGCCCAGATCGAAAAGGCCCGCCAACAGGGCCACTCGCTGGTCCTCGTGCGCGGCCTCCTGGACAACCCCAACTGGGCGATCAGCGAGGACTACTACGCGGCGCGCTCGGCGCAGAAACGACACCGGGACGCGTTTGAGAAGCTCGCCAAGCGGACCGGTGGCCAGGCCAAGGCCGTCGACGCCGCGGAGGCACGCAGCCACCAGCGGGTGACGGAGTTGCTTAAGGATCGCGTCCGCCGGGCGAGCACCAACGTGCCCTGGATGACGGTGATCGAGGATCCCCGGAATCGACAGGCGGACGGCGCAGTGGGTACGCCGCGGGAGAAGGGACTGTGGAAGTTGAGGAAGAAGGCGTATTCGGGGAGTGGAAGTGAGGGGGAGGGGGATTGGTAGTTGGTAGGGACGATAGTGGCTAATGCCTGAAAATTTGGACTTTGGACTCTTTGGATTTCCGGCTTCAGTGGTCTTTCTGCCAGGTGTATATAGACGGATTTTGGATTGATGGGGAACTGTGTGAAAAAGTTGGTATGACTTGGTTTATAGATCAAATGTTGGAAGGGATTGGCCTACGTCTAATATCAGTAAACAAGCCTCTGGTGTCAGTGTGCTTGCGATTCAGATTGAAAGCAGCGCTAATGCACGGTCATTCTGTTGCCTGAGTAATCTTGAGCTCAGCCCGTGCTGGTCGATCCATATGGCCCGTCTCGCAGAGAGGGCGCGGTTTATCGATGTCTGGAATTGGTGATGGAAATGGACGGAAGACAGGGGTGGTTATCCTTTGGGCGAACGGTGGGTGGACGGTGGGCATACGGTGGGCAGACGGTGGGCAGACGGTGTGTAAGTGATGGGTAGATCGGGGTAAGATGGAGGGAAGATGGAGGGAAGATGGAGGGAAAATGGAGGGAAAATGGAGGGAAATTGGAGGGAAGATGGAGGGAAGCTAAACCATGCACGTACTATACAATCCGAGCCAAGCCAGTCCAGCCAACCCAATCTCACGCCCACATCTTGGAGATTGGTGCTTCTTAGTATAAATACCATCCGTGACCCTTCACTCTTGAACAATACTAATCTCTTCGTCCTGTTGTCCTCCCGTCTATCAATCCAGCATGTGCCCTCCTCGTTACCGCGTAGGTGAAGCTCCCACATTGTATCATCCGGATTCTACTCTCCACCTTGAAGAAAGTGGCCATCTTCAACCCTACTATTCACACATGTCTTATACGCCCGCGCAGGCGATGATGCAAGATTGGCTTCCTCCACCAACGCATCCCACCTCAGACTTGTTCTCTGTGGGTCCTCCCCCAGAGACAGGATCCGAGAATAGCAGTCCGCCTTTCGTCCCACTATCGGCCTCTGATATCAGTGCAGCATGGCTCTGGCCAGCTCCGATTTATACACCAGGAGAGATACATAAGTCTACGGAGATCTCTCTGGCCAACACCTTCACGAGCTCAGCTATCGCATCGCCCCAACCACCATCTCTTCCTCCCCAGGGACCTCAAATGCCTCTCCCAACATTGTCCAAGTCTGAATCCCCCCCTCGGTACGTTGCCCCCCTCTTTTTGCCCTCAAGGATCAAATCCTCTAATAATGACCCCCTCCAGACCCAGACCCAGTCACGTCCCCCAGTCCCGCTGCGAGTGGAAGAACTGCACCTACGACCGCCCCTTCCGCCGCACGGCCGACCTCAAACGACACATCATCGAACAGCACATCTCACGACGATCCCACCCTTGTCCACGAGGAGGATGCGAACGACAATTCACTCGACCGGAGCACCTGCGGGCCCATCTAAGACGGTGTCGTTTTCCTCTTCCCTCTCCCCCCCCCCTTTTTTCCAGAGTGACAGGAACGACGAAGGAGCAATAAGCACAACAGCACCTGGAGGTCGCCAAGGGGAAAGGAGGAGGAGGGCAAAGGATATGGTTTGGATCTAGTTGAACTTGAACTAGTATATCTCGAATGTGCCTCTGATTCGCCAACCCAGATCTACATCCTATTGTCGGGATCTCAATTTTTTTTTTGGTTCCCCCCCCCCCAATATGACCGCTTTCTCCCCTTGGCTGCACTTCCATTCTTCCTCTTGTCTCGAACGTCCCTACAGCCAAGCTATCGCTCCTCGTTCGATTCTTTATTTCTTTGAGTAAAATACGTGACTACGATTCGAAATAGGTCCCAGTGGTTCCACCACGCATCCGCGCGCATTCAAACACATAAGACATGAGTTAGGGTTGGAGTTCGGGACTAATGCCTTCCAACGCTCGAGAGAATCATGCATAATCTGATAGTGTCTTTCCAACCGCTCTGGAAGATACAGGGCAGTACCACTATGTTGGGGTCCGAGAACTATATACTGCTAGGTCAATGATATATCAATGCTGTGATTGAGAAATCAACCTCCCCCCTCGGGGGTTGTTGATGTCAATGCCTCAACCCCTGGCTAGATATC